CTACTGGACTCTTTTAGAATATTTTGCTGAGTTTGCACACCTATAATACTCAAATAACGGAACTTAACAAAAAGGGGGCATACAGATGAATGTCCATTTTGTATCTGTGTATTCAAAATGGTTAGGATAGATATATAGTTACATTCTCTTAATGAATAGAGCGATTTGTTCTAATGGTGTTTGTAAATAGGATATCATGTCTGCATCTTGTATAGTAATTAACCACTAGGAAGAATGTATGCAATGTGTTAATTATTGAAACTGTCCTACCAATTTGATTTGAAACTGTCTCATTGCTATTTGTTTCTCAATAAAATTATGGGGGGAAAAAAAGACCCAGGTCAATACGGTTGCAATCAGGGCTAGGTGACTCAGAAATTGGCAGAAAGAAGCAAGTCTGAAGGCATTTAGATGAGCCAGGGAAGAAAATAGGTAACACATTGTAATTTTTGTCTTTACAGTTTTATCTTTAATCTTTTATTTTTTATTTGGTACAAGGTCTCACTATGCAGCTCAGACTCAGTGCTCCTCCTGTCTCAGCTTCCCCAGCTCTGGGATTACAGGCATGGGCCATCACACCCAGTTTCGATGGCTGGTACAGCACTCCCAGGGTTCCAGGGCCACCAGAGCATGCAGAACAGGGATCAAACCCAGGCCCTTGTACCTGCCAGGCAGGTGCTCAGACTGCTCAAGTATCTTCCCAACCCCAGCATTGCAATTTAAAAGTTTTCAACTGCCTCAAAAAAGGTAGTTCTTCTCACCTTAGATAATTCCAATTGTAAACCTCATGTTTATCTATCTTTTCTGTCACTCACTGAATTCACCATGCATTTTAGTTGATAGCTGTCATTGTCTTGTAAATTAAAAATAAAGGACATTGGATAGTACAGTATTTGTAATTCTATGAGCTACAGCCATATCAGATTAATAGATGACTGAATAAAATAGAAATTTTGAAATAAAGGCTCACCTTATGGCTGCATATCGTATCATTTTTAAGTATAAAATTAGAAATGACAAGAAATACTTTTAAAATGAATAGGCCATTATTCCACTTAAATGTACTCTAAGCAGTTTCTTAAAGCCTAAGTTCCCTATAGGTTGTGTACAGACAGTCTCAAGAGGGTGTGGTGCTAAGCAACTATTCTTTGAGCAGTTGTGCTATTTGGGCAGCTGCCTCTGCTTGTCATCTCTCCCAGGGATTCCTCAGAGCCAAGAGCGTCTGCCAAGAGGAGTCAAAACACTGCTGACGACCAGGAATTGGATTTGTTACAGATGGAGGTGTTCCAGCCTCTACCTCTGCCAACTCCATTGTTAGAGGAGTGTGATAAATGGATTGAGTGCATCTGCTCTTGTGAGCTGACGAAGATCCAAACAGCTTTTAAAAATGACAGGAAGCCAGTCTTCTTTGGCTAAGTCTTGGGTAGAGCACATCAGTCTACAACCGAGTCCTGAAAATAAGGAGTTGTGTGCAGAGAAACATTTTCAGGCATTTCTTCCCTACGTTAGAAGTAGCAGCCCTTTCATTTGATTGGCCTAGGCATATCATCTTTGGAACTTTTAGGGAGAAAGGCTGCAATTAGTATTCCAGAACACAGAATGAAAATTCTAAGGATATTATGCTACCAAAATATGCTTAAAATATCACCTTGAGATTTTGCGATGATTATTATTGTATTGTAGTTTGAGGGCCTTCATTTGTTTACCTCTAGCCCCTGTCATTTTATTAATGAGTCATTTAGGGAAACAGCACCTGAACTTTAAAGAAATGAGCTCTGAATTTTGAGCTGTTCCAAGGGAATGTGATGTGCCACTGGAACTTTAAATGCTTATGGAAAGCCATATAAATAATATGTATAGTTTTCCTAATAAGCAAAATAACTCCCAGTACAGTGATTCTGTGGTAGCTGCAATAACTCTTGTCCAAACTCCAGGCTCATATCTCTCTACCTTCCTCTCCAACTTGGAAGTCTAATAGGCATCTTCAAATAGAACTCCTGGATCCTAGCAAAAGTTTTTACTATGAGAAAAAAGAATCTTGCCATCACATTAAACAGCAATTTCCAACTTCCAGTTGTTCAGGCCAACACCTTGCTGCCATTCTCATTCTTTCTCTTTCCCATCCCACATCCAAACCATCAACTCAATCTCAAAAGATGTAGTATCCAACCATTTTTCACTGTGTCATCTACTACTATACCAGTCCAAACCATTTTGCCCAGATCGGAAGGATCTCCTAAAACTCTTCCCAGTTTCACCTTTGTCTTCTTCCCCAGATCACACAACTGCTCAGTGAGGAAGTTGCTTAGTGTCCCACTCTCTTAGGATCCTTCTCAGACAAAGTCAGTTATGTTGTCCTTCTCAAAACACCCTAATGATGTCCCATGTCACCCAGACTAAACACAGAGTTCTTACAATGGGCTACTAAACCTTCTGCCTGCACGACTTTTAAATTATAAATATAAGAGCTAGTCTAGTAGTGGTTAATTGCCTGTGTTTAAAGACTGGCTCAAATTCGTTAGCTTTGTCACACTGAGCAAGACATGCTTAACCCCTTGGCAGCTAAAGAGTCTCATCTGTAAAATGAAATCATTGTAGCACTTATCTCAAACGGTTTTTGTGAGAATTAATGAATAATTTTATAACATACTTACTAGTGACAGCATATAGTGAATATTGTAAGCATTATTAAATGACAAAACAGGAAATTTTCACTATTAGCAAAAGGTCTCATCATAAATTGTGTGTATAAAATCAATACTCCAGTGGTTTTTAGCTATAAGAATTTGAGAGATACAAAACACCTCTTAAGGCAAAAGATGAAAAATATTTCAGTTAGACAAATTCAAATAAGCCGTCATTTTTCTGGCAGAGTTCTGAGGTTATAACCAGATAAGGCTCTTATATATTTCAATATACTTTATTAGTGTATATTAACTTCATAAAATACTGGGTTTCAATGTGACATATGTCTATAGCATATTTTATCATACCCATTTCCACATCATTTTTGTTCTTGTTATTTATTCTGAGTTCAGAGCTATAATGGATTATATACTATGATTTATACTTTTAAGTATATTGGTGCTTTTAAAGTCTACAGATGCTGAGCCTCTTAATCACCTGTTTATTAACTAGTAATACTTCAACTCCAAAAATAGATAAATTTATTCAGTTCAGTTTTTAGATTAGTTTTTAAGACATACTGTATGTTTGTACTCTATATCTGGAATTTTATTACTGCACTAATTGAAACACTCTGTCAATAATAAAATAATAAACAAGTTTATTAAACCTGCACAGTGGAGTGAGTAGTCATAGATATTTCTAATTGGGAGCCGCACAATTTCCACTTTTTAGTGGAAACAAATAGCAAGACTGGGGATCAAACCCAGGGCCTTGTGCATGCAAGGCAAAAACTCTACCACTGAGTCACATCCCCAGCCCACTGTAGAGTTCAATTTTGCACATGGTTTTAAACAATATTTAAATCATCTTTATGGGAAAGTGAGAAAAAATGGCCACCAGCCAGGAGTCTCTCACATCTAGCTTCTTACATCAATTTTACAGTTTCTTTTGTGTCTATATATATATTGGAAGAATAAAAACATCCCTAATTCTCCCCTCAAACACAGAACACATACCAGACCCCTCAAGATCTGCTTTCCATCCATAGGGAGAGATAGTCTTATAAGTAAATGTATACAGATTATTTGAGGTAGAAAGACTTACTATTTGGAAGGAGGTCAAATGTTCATGATGTGATCAAGATATATGATAAATATTTAAACTTTTAAAAATGTTTTACAGTAAAAGACACATTTCCAGGATTCTCTGTAAAAATACTCTCCCTCACTTTGAACACACTATTCCATCACTCCTGCCACTTTCTGAAACAGTTCTGGAAGTCTTCCTTCAAGAGTATTATGAGGGCTGGAGAGATGGCTCAGTGGTCTAAAGCACCTACTTAGAACAAGCTTAGCAAAGCATCGGGGACCGCGGTTCAATCCCCCAGCACCACATGCCAGCCAGCCC